GGGAAGCCTCAGGAAAGCTCCAGGCCCTCCCTACCTGGTGGGGACAGAAACCAGGCCCATCCCCTCTGGTGGTTCCGGTCCAGCAGCCTTTGATTCAGCAAGGCCGAGGGTTCCTAGTCATGCTTAGAGCAGCGCATGCCTCTCCTGGGTTTTATCCTCAGGGCCCAGAGTGTGTAGCTTTTGGTTCAACGATATCCAGGCACCCTGGATACCTGGGCAGGAAGAGGTTCTTGTCTTGATGACTAGGACCAAGGGAGGAAGGCTCTGGAGTCGGGGGAGGAAGTGGAGATGAGTAAGTGGAGGGGAGACAAGACTTCTGGGAAACCTGGGGCAGGCAGAATCTAGACTCTAGAACTCACCGTTCTGAAGCTCTCAGAAGACTGGTGACTTCATCTGAGCCAGGCGGGGCTCTGGAGCTAGTCTGTGTGCTACAGTTGCCAAGCTGTGTAGTTTCAGGTGGGGGCCAGGCCACAGCATGGAAGGGGGTCTGCAGGGATAGCAACATCAAGACCCTGCTCCCACCTGCCCCCAGGCCCGAACCTCTGCAGGAAGAGGGCCCTCAAGTGAAATGGGGATGGGCCAGACCTGGGCCACGGGCTTGCTGGTGGCAACGATGGCTCTGGGGACAGACTTCCTCTCTCTTTGCTGTGACTGGCAGCCTTTGGCCAGAAGGTTTCAGAAAGCAGCTTTCCCTGGGGGACTGAGTGGCAGCGGCCCCAGCTAGCCAGCTGGGCCTGTGTGCATCCCACACCGGCTTCCCTTCGTGACTCAGGAGAGGGTTGGGCCTGTGAGGGCTAGGCCCCGATGGCTTTAGGAAGTTACAACACCCCAGGACATCAAAGCAGGACGATCTGAATGATCTAGCCTTGTGGCCTCACACGGCTTCGTTAGAGCTCTAGGAGTCTCCTGAGAACTCAGGGGCCACCTGGTGGGCTGTAGCTAAAGGAAGGCCAAGTGAACAGAGATCCGGGTCCCCACCCTCCACCTGGTTCACAGCAGCTTTATTTTAATCTATATTATATATTAATTAGACTTCATATAAGACTTCACTTGACAAGGAGTCCTTGAGAAAGGTTTAAAACCACTGATGTTATCCAATATTTTTATTGTTCATGTGGAAAAACAAAGGCCTAAAAAAGGGAAAGTTACCATCTCAAAACCGTAGACCTTACTCCTGGCCCTGGGTTCTGATTGGGAGGTGACCCATTCAGGGCCTAGACAAGGGGAGGCAGATGGAGGTAGCCCTAGGACAAGAGTGGCTCAGCTCAGGAGAGTGGGGATGAGGACAACCCTGTGGCCTCCCAGGCCTGAACCTACAGGCTGCCACACCATTGGCTGGCCTTGAGTACCAATGCACGGAGCCCTGCTCCCAGTACTGTACCCGGAAACATTGCTGCCCGGGCCAGCAAAGTCCTTGTCTCCCTCTCCTGGAACCAGTAAGGCCAGTGGGGCCCCAAGCGCTTCTGGAAATGGGAGGAAGGACATCGCTGTGCACTCTGAGCTGGTCTTTCCCAGGTGACCAAGCCCTCAGAGGTGACATGATTGATGGCCCATACTGGAGCCAGCACACCATTACTGGCCAACACCCACAGGCTGGGTGGTCTGCGTCTGACACACAGGCCAGGGGGCCGTCCCACATGGGAGGGTGCGTAGGCCCATACCTCCGAGACAGGGTTTCCGTGCATGAGGAACCACCACACCCTCTCATAGCGTGGCAGTGCGAGTTCCCCCTACCTCTTTCAGCACCTGCTGGAAGAAACCCAATCCCATGTCCTCTCAGGCTGAGCCCTAATGCCTCTTCTGAGGCCTGTGGGCACAAGAAAGTGTCTCGGGGCACCTTCCCAGCCTGAAACAAGGGTCAGGTGATGCAGCAGCCTGAGCCTCAGCCCTTCACTCAGAGCCTGAGTCAGACCCTCTTGGAAGCACAGGGCACAGTTAGTCCACATGGAAGGATGAATGGCACCACAGGCCGTCCCATCACCGCCAGTTCCGATGTCCCGCCCCTCCTAACAGCGGCTGACAGGCGTTCTTTACGGTAGTTCATGGGCTGGATCTGGTGTGTGACTGAGCACTCCGGGGGTGGAGGGGTGTGAGGGGCTTTGACAGTGTCTCCCAGGTTATTTTCTGAGCCCTCTGATCCTGTTGTTCTTCTCAGACCTGTAGATGTTCAAGCCCATCCTTCCTAAGAGAGCCCGAGCTCTTCAAGGGCCAGGACCAGGGCTAGATGGATTCTGGAACCCTTTCTCCAAGGACGGGTCCTGCTGCAGAGCAAGTGCCCATCAAAAGTCAGTGAGGAACTTGTCCCTACGCCTTTAGGGTCACCATGGAATGGGCAGGTTAAGATAGTGGGAGCTATGACCCCCGCATCCCCACCCATCTTCTGCTCTTATTTCTTACACATGTTTGATGACTATGCTGTGGATGACATAACCATTTCACAGGCAATGTCAGTATCATCCACCTGGTTAGCTAATGAGCCACAGGAGTCAACATGAGAAAATACCCACTCATTGTTAGAAATTACATTTTTTTCCTGATAGACGGAGTGAATTAGTCCTCACACTTCTCCATGTGAGAGGAGGAAAGGAAAATGAAGAGGCGGGACCCTGTTGTGCACTCACAGGTCTTGGGTCTTGCCTGAGAATGATGGTTAGTGGGGTGTTCACCTCCTAACCTGCCATACACACTCCCCCTCCTGAGGGCAGGTACCCCATCTTGACACACCCACCACCTTTGGTCCCAGTGGGCCTTCAGGACAAGACTGCTTGAGCCCGTGCTTGGGAAGGGTGAATTCAGGCCTGGAGCTCAGAGTAAAGCCCTCCCCAGGTCCCGCACACATACTGCTTCTGAGTGAGGTCACTTAGTGATCAATGGAAATTGGGAGTTAGCCTGTGATTGGGAAGTGCTGGTGAGGAGTGGAGGGAGGGAGTTCCAGGTCCTACAGTGCATATGAGTAGCTGCTGCAAGTTCAGAGTGTCCGAGTGACTGGAGCACGAGGCAAGTGGGAGCTGGGAGAGGCGGCCTTGGTAGCCAATTTAAGGTAGCCAACTGCATTCTTAGGGCCACAGGGTGTCTAAGCAGGAGAGTGAAGTGGTCAGATGTGAGTGGAAAGCTCGGAGCAAGTGAAGTGGCCTCTCGGTCACACCCATGGCACTTCATGAAGGAGGGCAGGAGGCCAGGAGGCCAGGTCCTGAGGGTCCTGGGATTTGGGACTAACAACTCTAGTGTTCCTATCAAGTCTACCTCCCGCTTCAGGAAGGGCCAGCTTAACCCAAGCTCTGGAGTCAGACCGCCTGGGTGTAAAACCGTGGCTTCATCATTCATTGGCTGTGTGGCTCTGGCCAGTTACACTGTGCCTTGTTCTCTTGCCTCTACAATGGCATGTTGAATTATTGTGGGCTCTCATTGGACAGCTTTTCTCAGATGCCCCACACATAGCAGGTGCTCAGTGTATGTTGATCTCCTTTCCCCATTAGCTCTTGTCCCTGAAAACCCACATTCCAAGTGGCTTTGTGTTGAGTCCCACCTGAGTCCACCAGAGGCACTTCCTCCAGGGGGAGCCCAGGGAGAGGGCATGTGACCTGCCCTGCAGCAGCCGAGGCTGCTTGGCTTCTCCGCCCTGATGCTTATGAATGGCTGTTCCATACACAGGGTAGATCTGAACTCACCACCCCACCGACCCCCATCCCGTGGTTCCCAGGCCTCACAGGGCACCAGGAAGTTGAAGCAAATGCTGAGAGGAGATGAGAAACTTTTAGATAAAAACTGGGCCCCACCTTCAGCCCCCCCACCACTCCTCATGTGATTGTTGGCTCAGGGTCAGGCTGGGAGACGTCAAGGGAACTGAAATCAAGGGGAGACTGACACCCACTTGTTTGTGGCTCTGGGAAGATCACTCCCCACTGTGGGCCTCCCTTCAGAGGCTGACTACCATGACCGCTAGGAACTTTTCCACCTGAGCGTTCCTGGATTCCCTAATTCCTGGGAAAAGAATTGAAACCCTATCCCCCACTCTATCCCCAACCAAAACCTAGTGAACAACCCAAGCAAATCAAGATCCCTAGGAAAGGGCTCTGCTCTCTCCCAAGACACCTCCAGGCTGAGGGAGGGGTATGCATAGGATGCTCCACCAGACTGGGCCAGCAGGGTAGGGCACCCAGACTTGTCAGACTCCTATCTCTTGTTCCATCAGACTCAAGAATGGCCTTGGAGGAGGTGACTGTGGTCTGCACGGGGGGAGGGAAGGGTGTGGGAGTGACTGACATGGCGAGATTGAAGGAGTCGTGAATATGGCATGACTCACGGAGAAGTTGCCGCGGGTGAACCCCTGGGGGATGCGCTTGTCTCAGGTCAGGTCCTGCATGCCCGTCCTTCCTGAGGGCAGCCTCCCTCCCCAGCCAGCAGGATCTGCAGGGCGCTGTCTGGAGAGCAACGTCTTCCTTAGGGCCTGACCAGAGGCCCAGAGCCAAATTGCAACACTGACCGAGGCAATAAAAACCCAGATCCGTGCTTCATCTCGAAAGTCAGCGTTTTATTAGGGAGGGCCGCGGCCCAGGGAGGGAGGGTGTTGAGCTAAAGCAGCATTGCTCTCTTTCCAGGAAATGCTGCGAGCTGCAGCCAGAGCTCGAGACGTTGCATTTTTTTTTTCAACTCAAGCATGTGTTTTTCAAAAATATCATCCTCC